CGACTAAATTGCTTGCTCACTTCCTTCTTGCTGCATCAGGTGATGGGCTCACTCTGACGTCATTGCCAGGTTGATTGACTAGTCTTGTTTACTGACCAGAAATTGAATATAGTAAATGAAAGCCACAAATGCTTCAGGGAAGATGATTTTACTCCTTGATATTGTAAACTGTTGGATGAGGAAAGGAGCCTTCTGTTCTTGTTTGTTCTTTCAGAAGCTGGTGAAGCTCCACCATTGCCCTGCCTGTAAATAGGTAAAGGGAGGATTCTAGAGTAGCTGGGTTGGCAATACAAATTACGGAGTGGCTTTATAATCTGAAAAGCACAATACACATGCGCCATTAGAACACAGAGGCCAGTGATTTGTTCATCTCTTCTGCATTGTGGTGGGTTGCCTGCTGGCTGGTCCTGGGACTATGTATTTGCTAATCTTGGCCGATACCATTAGTGGAAATTGGCTGGCTGCTTAAATTCAGGAGGAATAGTGTCTGTCTATGCCCTTTTCTGTCTTTTATAATAAAACACTTATGTGTAGACCTAATTTATAATAAAAGATCAAGTCAGATCTGTTCTCTTTGGGGTAGTCTTCCTATAAACCCCCTTTTCTGTGCCTAATTTTACAGATGGCAACTTCAAAACCTACTGCCCTGAAGAGATTTACAGAGGTTCAGCCAGTTGGTGGCAGGGGTGTGGCAAGACTCTGGTCTAGTTAAGAAATTACTCTTTCTTTCTTTCTTTTTTTTTTTTTTTTTAAATATATTTTATTGATTTTGTACATAGAGGAAGGGAGAGAGATAGAGAGTTAGAAACATCGATGAGAGTCATCGATCAGTTGCCTCTTGCACACCCCTTACTGGGGATATGCCCGCAACCAAGATACATGCCCTTGACCGGAATCGAACCTGGATCCCTTCAGTCCCCAAGCCGATGCTCTATCCATTGAGCCAAACCGGTTTCGGCCAAGAAATTACACTTTCTATTTTCTCATGTCCATCTCCCTCTCTCTTTTCCTCTCCTCCTTCCTCCCCCCTCCCCCTCCCCCTCCTCCTCCCCATTCTTCTCCCCCTCTTCCTCTCCCTCTCTTCCCCTCCCTCTCTCCTTCTCCTTCTCCCTCTCCCTCTCTCCCTTCCTCTTTTCTGTTGCTGACAAATCTTGCCTTTGACCCCATGAGCTCTACACGTGGAAAAAAGAAATTACTCAGAGGGCAGAAAGATCACACAGGGCTTCCAAAGTCCCCTTGGAGTGCCTTCGGGGACCTCAGGTAGTCTTATGGTCACCCTGTCACACTGAAATGGAGGACACTTGTCAGGCAGGACATCCAAAAATTTCCCATCAAAATACGTCACATAGCAGAGGAGAGTGACTGTCATAGGGTCTTTGTATCCAGACTGCCAAGGCACCACAGTAAACCTCCGGAGGTGCCTACTTTTCCAGTGCAGTGGAAGTCCACATTAGTGAAAACCCACATCTGTCCACGTTAGTACTGTTTTGGAGTAGTTCAGTTTCAATGTTAGATCTACATTTCTTTTGATAACTTTGTGTCTTTGCAAAGGGTTTTTAGTGGTTGTTTAGACCTGACTACTTCCCATATGGAATAGATATTGATTTGAGCTTAGAATAACCCCAAATTTTACTGAGATACCAGGGATTCAGTGAATTGAGAGAGTTTGGGAGCCTCTATCCTATTGCCAAATTTAATTTAAATCCATAAGCTTCAAGTTAACGATTGATATAAATTTTACATTCTGTGGCATAATGTATTTATTGACTGCCTTTGCTCATTCCATGGTTAGATATTGAGCACTGGATTATGTGTCAAGTAATTTGCCAAGAAAGTGTGACCCATAGAAGTGACATTTATGCTGAGGTCTGAAGACTGAGTAAGAAACAACTAGAACATTTCAAGCACAAAAAGCCTCTGGAGCAGGGATACAAAGATGCAGGCTGGAGACAAGGGTTTTTGTTTGTGCTTCAGTGTGAAAATAAGGTTTAAGTAGATCATAGTAATAGTTTAACAGCTTATTCACAGCTTCAGACCCCAGGAACGATGCTCTGTGTCCTATAGGTAGTGTGGGGCCAAGGTTTATCCCCCAAGTTTCTTCCTTCTTGCCAGCCTGCCAGCCCTTCCTTCCCACCATGTGCCAGGTTCAGAGGTGCCCATGAGCCTATTCTTCCCTCAGGAGTTCACAGGAGAGTAAGGGAGAGATACGTGTACAATATGTCTTTCTTCTCAGACGGGTACTAAACATAGCCCTCCCCAGAGAAGCCGTAGTTTTGCCACTTGGCAAGGTGCTTACTCATTTGGATCCTTGAATTCCGCATTGCAGATCAGCCTCAGATAAATGTTCGCCAGGTATTTTCCCGAGCTCCTCTGTAGCTCTTGTCTGTCTGACGTTTCAAACTTCAGAGTCAGAGCTGCTGGGGACATTCTCAGTTCTGTTGAGACCCCACATCTGTATGCTGACAATGGCCAGTGTACTGATTGGGGGGGGGGGGGCCTTCAGGGTCTGAGCCCTACCCCTGCCTGCTACAGAGAGTCAGTTACATTTCCAGTGGGAGTGCCTACTTATTTTCACTGTTGGGGGCAGAAATTTCTGGTGGTCTGACTCTGTACTAAGACAGAGAAGCCTGAGATATTGCAAGAATCAGTGAGTGCAGGTATTAGAGACAGCAAGAGTGAAGAAGAGTGGACATAACTTCACAAACTGTGTTCTAATGACGCATCTGTATTGTGCTTTTCAGATTATAAAACCATTCCGTAATCTGTATTGCCAGCTACTCCAGAATCCTTCCTTTATTTATTTACAAGTTGATACTTGGTGCTCATTATCTGTCAGGCTGTGAACAAAGTGCAGTCCCTGCCCTTGTGGGCTAACCCTGTTTTCAGGGAGATGGCCAGTGGAAAAAATGTGTCAAGTAGTGATCTGTTTTGTGAGGGGGCAAGGGAAGGAAGAGGGACCAGATATGTTAGCGAGGCCAAGTCTCTCTCAGGTGGTGATAGTTGAGACTTGAATGAAGAGAGAGAACCCTGGGCAACATGTTAACATGTGCATAGCCTTGAGACATAAGGGAGCTTGGGGAGTAGCAAGGAGGCCAGTGTGAGGAAAGGGCAGAATAGTAAGAAACGTGGTGGGAGTGGTAAGCAGGGGCCAGATCATACAATGCTCGTTGGTAAAGACTTCAGATTTTGTACTAAGTATGAAGCCATTTAAGAGTTTTGATTAGGGAAGTGGCAAGATCTGACTTACTTTTTCAAAGGATCCCTCTGGCTACTGTGTGGAGAAGGGCTTGTTGGGAGTTTGTTGTAGTGGTCTGGGTGGATTGAACCCAAACGTTATTAAAATAATGGGATTGTGAGAGTGCTGATGTGCAGTTTTCCTAGCCTTCCAATGCGCCATTGCTTGGAAACCACCTACCAGGAGTGAGCTTTCTCTTCTGAGTTGTACAGTGGCATGAGTTAGAAGGGCAGACGGACAGGAAGCAGAAGCCCATTGATTGCTGCTTTGTGAGGCATGCCAGGTGGGGGCTTTCCCATGCAGCACATTAGTCCTGACCAGCACCCCCTGCTGGTCTCACCAGAGCTCTGAGTGTCTGCTGCCTCATGATTTTGCGGTCCTTCCAGCATCCATCCCAGCAGGTCCTCTCTCCATGGTTTTGTGAGAGCTTGACAGAAGGCTTTGGGCATGACAGATAACACGGCTCATTTGATTAAAAAGATGACTAACACTGAATAAATATTGAATGTGTTTATAAGTTAATACTTAAACATAAATAGTCCTCTCTGTGGGCACTAGAGTTGAGTTTGTCCTTTAACATAAGATATCAAAAGGGATGAGTTGTGTTTATCTCAGGAGCTCAGACATTAGAAAGCACCTTAGGTTAATAAAGCAAAGAATGAAGTTTGAGGGCCCATTCTGAATAACCCATTCCCAACAAGTGGCAGAAGGGAAGGGCTGCTGCCAGGAGCCCTCAGCTGCTACGGTGCTCTCATTGCTCAGGGCCAGCCCCGTGGTTTTCTGGAGGCAGTGGCAGCTAACGGAAGTCAGATATGTAGCAATCTCCTATTGCCTGAGTTGCTGAGATATGACAGGCATTTCTAACTAAGTCTGGAAGCCATGCTTGTGGTGAAAGCAACCCAGGTGGTAAAAGCAGTGATTGCAAAATGGAATGATACAATTCCAGAGCTGAGCCTGGCCTCGTTGGTAGATGGCAGAAGTGGGCTGCTGAGGTTTCTTACTTTGGTCTTTGTTAACTCATATAACATCTTCCTATATGTCAGGTTTCAGTGGTGGAAGAACCAGTTGAGCATCTTTCAAGGAAACTTAAGAGGGTTGATGTATTGATAGGTTCCCCATGACCATCCTCTGGTTTATTGATTCACCAGGACTCATAGAACTCAGAAAAGCTGTTTTACTCCCAGTTATGGTTTTATAGCAGAAGGGTACAGACTAAAATCAGTGAAGGAAAAGACTTCACAGGGAGGAGAAACCAGGAAATCTGTCTTTGTAACTTCCAGTTGTCTTCTCTCAGGAGTGACACGGACAGCTCTTAATTCTCCCAGCAGCTGTGTTTGGCAATGCATCTGAAGTATTTATCACCAGCTAAGGAAGCTCAATAGATCCTTGGTATCCAGGTTTTGTTTTTTGGTGTGTATGTCTTTTTTTGTTTGTTTTTGTTCAGTGTTTTTGGCATGGAGCGTCAGTGTCTCTGATCTTAATCTCCAGCACTCCAGAGGTCAGACTGATACAATGTGATTCAGAGTCCCAGGTATTCACCTTAAATGACATTGCTGCCTAAACTATCTGTGACACAGAGAAACTCCTACCAGGCAACATATACCAGGAGCCAGCAGCTCCTGCCTTGATGCTTGGCCTGTTGCTGCAGCCCATGGGCATGAGGCCCAGGCTGAGGCTGTCAGGGCTCCTCAGCAGGCCTCAGGCGGACCTTGCTCCTCCCTGCTGAAGTCTGTTATTTCTCTCTTCCTACAGTTTCGTGATCAACATGGGGGACTCCAACACAGATACCAGCGCCACCGGGTCTGAGGAAGTGTCTCTTTTCAGCATGACGGACATGATTCTGTTTTCACTCATTGTGGGTCTCCTGACCTACTGGTTCTTCTTCAGAAAGAAAAAAGACGAAATCCCGGAGTTCACCAAAATTCAAGCCATGTAAGTGATGCTGTCGGCATCTCTCTTCTTCAGCGTTCTAGAGCTCTGTTGCTCTTTTGGCAGCCCGAGCAGCATTCTGTACTTGGGCCTCGGTCAGGAGTGAGCCAGCGGGAGGGACACAAGTTCCCTGAAGCATCTGGGGATGAGTATTGGCTTTTGCCTTATTGGCAGACTAGGCCTCAAGTCTGTTTTATGTTTTCACAGCACTTTAGAGTTATGGCTGTTTGATTTGAACTTCACAGGGGCCATTCAGAGTAGAAGGTACCATTTTACCGATAGATAACCTGAGGCTCAGGGGTGTTACAGATGCTGCCTGGGATCATCTGCACAAGGCAGAGCTGGAACTGGCACCTTCCCAGCCTGTGATCTCTCTGTTTACCCGCAAGATGATGAGACCTTGGTTCTTGTCTTCTTGAAGGAAAAATTTCAGACAAGAGACAAAATGCAGCAAATCAAACAAGAATTTATTGGCTACAGCAAAAACACACTTGGGACAGTGAAATAAGGAAGGGCATAGAAGAAGCAACAGGAGAGACCTAAGTTGGGAGGGGGGAAGGGAGCTGCTTTAGCTCACTGGGAAGTAATTGTAAAGGGGGTCTTGGAGACAGGTTCAGCTCCCAGAATGAGCTACTCCTGCTGGGTACTTTGCATTGAGGATATTCTCTCTCTTGCAGGTGGAAATCTTAGGGGAAGTCTCAGGGAAGGGTCTCAATAGAATATTCATTAGCTTTCCAGGTGTGCTCTTTCAGGGTCATGGGCGGATTGGTTGGAGCCAGGACATGGTAGTCAGTGCAGCTGTCTGAGGCAGCCATGGTGTCAATTGTCTGGTTTTGCTGCTACTCTGGGCCTAGAGCTGAAATACAATTGAGGCCTAGATGTCATCTCTAGGGAAAAAAAGTCAGGGGTCTACACCACATGACTTGCTGATATGAAAGTTCAAACCAAGCACATGACCGGTGATATGTTAGGTGAGAAAAGGTGGTTACCCTGGGGACGAGGTCCTTGTTTTCCCAATTTTGTCCCTTGATAGGTGACCTTTTGTACCTGGCCCATCGTCCATGTTCTGCTCATGTCTAGCTGCCTGTTACATTTCCATTTTGTAAACAGATTGGATCTTAGAGGTGCTATTGACACAGGACCATAAAGCAAGGCAATTACTTTGTTTAGAATTTTCTTTCAATTCTTTTCATTACCCACATGAAGAAAGTTGCAGTTTGGTGCTAATATGTCCTTAAATCTAACAGTTGCTAGTTTCTTTTTGTAAGTGAAGAGGCCTGTCACCAGCTTAGAGTTTTGGAGAGTGACACTTAGAAGAGGAAAACTATTTTTTCCCCTCAACTCTCAATACTCCCTACATCAAGCAGTTCTCAAACTCTCCTCACACCAGCTGTCTCGAGTTAGATCCCACAGGTTAAAGGCTCAGTCCCATATGACTCCTGGCCCCCTTCGGATGCCAATCGAATGTCCAGTTTGTCACCTGTGCTTCTGATCAACCAGCTACAAACCAGAGGTTCCCATACTTCCTCCTCAGGGTTGGTTTATTTGCTAGAGTGATTCACAGAATTCAGGAAAGCAGTTTACTTACTATGTTACCAGTTTATTATAAAAGTATATATAACAGTATATACTTATTATATATAACAGTACATATTTATTATAACAGTAGATGGAAAAGGTAAGTAGGTCAAGCGATGCCCTCTCCAGGTGCTCCACTCTCTAGCACTTTCACCCGTTCAGCAACTCTGAGGCTCTGCAAACCCTATTCTTTTGGGTTTTTATGGAGGCTCCGTTATGCCTACATTGGGGATTAGTTCAATCTCCAGTCCTTCTCCCCTCCCCAGAGGTCAGGGATGATGCTGAAAGTAAATCTCAGGGTTGGTTCCTTTGGCTACTAGCCCCATCCTTAAGTGCTTTCCAAAAGTCACTTCATTATGAACTCAGGTGTGGTTGAAAGGGGTTTGTTACAAGTAACAGAAGATACTTTTATCGCTCTTATCACTTAGGAAATTCTAAGGCTTTTAGGAGCTCTGTGCCAGAAACAGGATAAAGATGAAATGTGTATTTTAAAAAATATATCTATTTTTATTGATTTCAGAGAGGGAGAGAGAGAGAGAGAAACTCAATGATGAGATGGAATCATTGATTGGCTGCCTCCTGCATGCTCCCTCCTGGGGATCGATCCTGCAATCCAGGCATGTGCCCTGACCAGGAATCAAACCGCAACCTCCTGGTTCATGGGTTGATGCTTGACACTAACCACACTGGCCGGGCTGCGTTTTTAAAAATATATATTTTATTGATTTCTTACAGAGAGGAAGGGAGAGGGATAGAGAGTTAAGAAACATCTATCAATTGCCTCCTGCACACTCACTATTGGGTATGTGCCCACAACCAAGATACATGCCCTTGACCAGAATTGAACCTGGGACCCTTGAGCCCGCAGGCCAATGCTCCATCCACTGAGCCAAACTGATTAGGGCAAGGGCTGCATTTTTTAATGTTACACTATCACAGGCAGTATCCAGCCTGACTTTACTTACAGTTTTTAAATTTTTTAGCCTTCCATAAAACTTCCTTTTAATAAAATTTAATTAAAAAGATGACTTAGTTTAAAAAAATAGTAAGGAAGTAAGAGTAAAGATTTTTAGGTATGAAAAAATAATGTACACCATAGTCTCCTCAAGCTTGAGTTCCATATCATTCCTGCACCAGGTCATGTTCTTTTAGGCAGGTTTGAGTGGGACTGCCAGGCCAGGTTCTGTGCTGAGAGAACCCAGGGCACAGCTCCTTGGGGATCCAAGGAACAAGTTTCAGGTGCAGAAGATGGGGCTGTGCTCAGGTCAGAACTCCAAGGGTTGGGAACCTGTCAAGTCCTAATTCCCTATTCCACTTTTGGTATCGATTTTCTCTCCCAGAAAAGTTATAGTCCTCCAGCTTAAAAGCAGATATTCGGGGAATACAATTTATTAAATCCTCACTTAATACTGTTGATGGGATAATGAAACCAGTTTTGCCACAGGCTTGATAAAAACAAGAGTTAAGTTCCTAGAGCATTTCATTAATATTAAAATTATGTTGAATGAAACAACATTACTCAAGGCCCTACTTTACCACTAACAGGGCATTAGTTTTAAAAAAATATATATTTTATTGATTTTTTACATAGAGGAAGGGAGAGAGATAGAGAGCCAGAAACGTCAATGAGAGAGAAACATCGACCAGTCGCCTCCTGCATACCCCACACTGGGGATGTGCCCGCAACCAACGTACATGCCCTTGACCGGAATCGAACCCGGGACCTTTCAGTCCGCAGACAGACGCTCTACCACTGAGCCAAACCGGTTTCAGCTAGTTTTACATTTATTTTATTGATTAAGGTATTACATATGTGTTCTTATCTTTCCATTGTCTCCCAACCCCCATTCATGCCCTCACCCCCTGGTGTCTGTGGCCATTGGTTAGGTTTATATGGATGCATACAAGCCCTTTGGTTGATCTCTCCCTCTTACCCCCACCCTCCCCTACCTTCCCTCTGAGGTCTGAAAGATGCTTCTCTGTCTCTGGATTTGTTTTTGTTCATCAGTTTATGTTGTTCATTATTTTCCATGAATGAGATCATGTGATATTTACTTTCTTTGACTGGCTTATTTCACTTAGCATAATGCTCTCCAGTTCTATCCATGCTGTTGCAAATGGAAAGAGGTCTTTCTTTTTTACAACAGCATAGTCCGTTGTGTAGTTGTACCACATTACTTTTACTTTTTTTAAAATTTAGCAAATATTTACCGAGTCCTAAATAACTATGAATAAACTAGATGAAGTCCCCATGTTTATCAAGCTTGCAGATCCTGGGTAAGACCTTTAACCTCACTCTGCCTCAGTTTCTTCATCTGCCAAATGGAAACACTAACCCCGATCTCATGGGGCTCTTGCAAGTATTAAATGGGATAATGTTTATGTTGGCCACCTAGCATTATTCCATGGTAGCTCTTAGTGTTTGTGTCAGAATGTATTTTGCACCAAGCCCTAGCTGGGTGCTATAAGAAAAGAGGTGGCGCCGAAACCGGTTTGGCTCAGTGGATAGCACGTCAGCCTGCGGACTGAAGGGTCCCGGGTTTGGTTCCGGTCAAGGGCATGTACCTTGGTTGTGGGCACATCCCCGGTAGGGGGTGTGCAGGAGGCAGCTGATAGATGTTTCTCTATCATCGATGTTTCTAGCTCTCTATCACTCTCCCTTTCTCTCTGTAAAAAATCAATTAAAAAAAAAAAGAATAAGAGGTGGCATTTACATTATAGAAGTTGAGAAGTGAGGATGATGAAAAGGACTTTTAACAAGTGGTTTATGAAGCACTTTCATGTGCATATCTAATCAGGGCCTGTGCAATAGAACTGTATGCTAGACCGGGTGGGCGGCCTCAGAGAAAGGCCACCAGTGAAGAGGATGTGGGGAGAGGGAGACTCTGGCTGCCAGAATTGTAAGAAAGGTCTTCCCCCTGGTGGAGAGACTGAAAAATGTGCTGTGGGAGGTGGTATTGCAAATGTCCTAAAATGTGGTGACGCATCCGGAGGCTGAGAGGATTTTGGCATCAGAGGGCCAGAGGAAGGACAGGAGGATGGGTGGGTGAGCCGGAATTCAGCCTGTTCCAACTGGGGCTGATTCAGGTGCATGTCTGGTATAGCAGCGCATTTTTGGTGGGAAAAATGTGATACTCAAGATAAGAGGACCAGCATCCAGTTCCCAGCTTACAGTAGCCCTGCGTTTCCTCATCTGTAAATGGAGGTGCACCCCCCCTCCCCCCACAGTGAGTGGATATGGATGTTCCATGGGAGCACATGGAACCGCTGTTCTCCCCGCACTTCTCTTGCCTTGCGAGATGGACTTGCAGTAAAACTCCTAGGCTGTGGGAGCACTTGCATTTTGCAGATTCTAGTTGTTTCTCTTTGCCAGGATACTGAAACTATAGTTCCCTCTTCTTGATCATAAAATTTTAAGCTTATAT